GTTATAATTTTCAAAGTTATATGATATTAGACTCAAACTTCAGATTTTTGTTTTTAATAAATAAATATAAAGATATATAGAGAATGATAAATGTTGGTGAGGCTGTGTTGAAAATGAAACAGTCCTGCACTGTTGGTGGGAATGTAAATTAGTACATTATTAGTTCTCTGTGGAGAGCCATATGGAAGTTCCTCAGAAACCTACAAATAGATCTACCATATGACCTAGTAATTTCATTCTAAGGTATCTATCTAGAGGATAAGAAAATCCTTAGTCAGAAAAACACTTGCACATCCATGTTTATTGCAGAATTATTTACAAATGGTAGAACATGCAATCAACCCAATAATAATTTAATAATTTTTATTTATTTTTAATTTACATTTAATGACTGTACATCTTTGCAGTGTACAACATGGTTTTTCTCAGTGTGAATGCAGTGCATATTAGGCAAGTCAAAGACATTACATTATCATCAGTAGATCATTTTTCATTTTTGTGTCTATTAAGTGTGTTGTTTGTTGTTTTCCTAATCCCTTCCCTCCCATCCCCTGTAATGCATCCCTTATTGACCCCCTCCACACACTGTCTCTGGCATCCACAGCTGCCCTCCTTACTATTACACCTTCTAATCTTTCAGTTACTGCTGTAGAGTGCAGATATTTGGTATATATTGATAGTATATATATTCATAGTCTGGCTTGCTTCTCCTAGCACTAAATATTTTATTTTGCTCACTTTCTGTCAATCATCAAGGTGTCATTGTTTTTTCATGGCTAAGTAGTATTCCATAGACTACATGTCCTACATTTTTTCAATCCTGTCTTCTGTTCTTGTACATTTGAGTTGATTACATGTCCCCATTGTAAATAATGCTGCAATAAGCATAGATCTGCAAGTGTTTTTTTCTGAATAAGGATTTTCCTATCCTCTAGATAGATACCTTAGAATTAAATTACTAGGTCATATGACAGCTCTATTTGTAGGTTTCTGAAGAACCTCCAGAGAACTAATAATGTACTAATTTACATTCCCACCAATAGTGCAGGGCTTTTTCATTTTCAACACAGCCTCACCAGCATTTATCTTTCTCTAGATTTTTTTTTTTTAATTTTGCCAATCTCCCAGAGGTTAAGTGGTATCGCATTGTGGTTTTGGTTTGCATTTCCCTATGAGAAGAGATGCTGGGCATGTTGTCATATGCTTTGTGGCTGTTCATATATCTTCCTTGGACAGTTGTCTGTTTAGCTCATTTGCCCATCCAAAGTTTGTATTTTGCATACTTACATGATGAACTTCAGTCAGATAATGCTGCCAGTTTTGTATTTCCCTTCATTTTGTTATTTATTTGGCAATATGAGATACTAAGAACTCATCTTTATGCACAATAACTTTTCCAATAGGCAATTAAATAAATCCAATAACTTCTTGTGTATTAGCATTAAGTCAGGGATTACATGGTCTTATTGCCAAAGGATTAAACTTCCTATCTTATTGCCTAGAACAATAAAAAGTCATTCTAATTACCATTGATCACAGAGTGAGAGACTGTGAAATATAGGTCTTAATTCAGTAGGCTTAGCTATAATGTTATATAATGTGTTTATTTGATAGTAGTCATTAACGGAGTAAGCAAAACTAAAAATTTCTGGAAGCTAGATTGCAAATTCCATAAGAAAATATTAAGGAGACTACTATTAAAAAGAGGCTCGATGGAAGAAAAAAGAGGAGTAAAGGAAACTTTACAACTCCAAAATATGTGAATGGAAAAATAATAAACGAGGGGACCCGATGGCGGTGTAGTGGTAAAATATACTGTGTGAGGCAATCCCACATGGGAAGGTTTCCTGTTTGAGTCTGGAGCCCCCCCTGAGTACACTAAGCAAATGCTTGCCCATTATCCAGGATGGCTAAAGGACTAGAGTAGATTGTGGTGTCCAGACCCAGCTGCGGGTGCTGTCACTCAGTCTATCTCTGTGTCGCTTTAGCTTTGGAAAAAGTAAATGGATAAACTTTAATAAGAATAAACAATGTAATATACAGAAAATAGTGTCAAATCCAGTAAATATTTTATATGATCTCCTAATGTTTAGTGTGTGTGTGTGTGTGTGTGTATATATATATATAATGTTATATATATAGCAATTTCTACTAATAATATTATTGACTCCCAAAAGATTCAGTGTGACTTACAGAGATACAACATGATAGAAATATACTCTAAATCAGATGTGGGAATAAATGGGAAAAAGAGAAGAAGAAGAAAAAGAAAAATGAAGAAAGAAAGGAAAGAAGAAAGAAAGAAAGAAAAGCTGTTAAAGTGATACTAAATGAAACTATTATCAGAGCTGACTGAAAAAGAAGGAGAACTAAAAAAGACAATAGCCTTCCTTTAAGAAAAATTTCATTTTGACTATAAGTTTTTTAGAGGCCAAATAAAAAAAGAAATCCGATCAATTTTATAATTTACAGCATTCAGGATAAAAGCAAACCAATTTACTTAGAAGTGCAATTATTCCTGCTACAAAAACCTGAAAGAAACTTCTCCCAAGGGTCATTATAAAGAGGACACTATAAAATATATTGAAATGTGCCTTGAACAATATCTTTATAATAGACAGCACTAAGAGTTTCTTAAAGTGGCCATTTTATTATGTACCTCACTATATACTGACAGTCTAATATATAATTCTGTGTGTAGTTTAATAGAGGCATAGATTTAAAGTAACAAAAAACACATTCAAAATCTTTCAAAATCCCCTCAAATGCATTTTAATTTTATTGTCATTATTTAGAGAAATTTTCTCTTACTAAATTCAGATCAGTTAGCTTTCAAATTTTGTAAATAGTTCAGACATCTATGATTTACATACCATTCTGTTAAACCCAGAAGAAACACAGACAATTTCCGTGAACGAGAATTACTTTCAGCTAGTCTGTGATGTCAAATACTATAAACAAACGATATTATTTACAAATTGCATCTCTATTATACAGTTAATATAAATAGATGAGAGATGACCTGACAAGAGAGTAAGAGTTAATTTCCACTTGTGAACTTAAAGACACATTAGCTGCAAGGATATACTCTTAAAATGGATCATGTTTGTCCTAAGAAAATAAGTTTGAATCTTCTCTAATATGCAGATAGGTCACTTGCTGAATGCTCTATTTAGTATACTCTCAATGCCTTTCTTGAAAAGTATTAGACTCCTCCTACTTCAGGTCTTACTTAAAGTATGTATCCTCTTGAGATTTCTACCACAGCCTGACTTCAAATTCACAATCCGAGAAGCTTTCTTACTTGCACCTTCCTTGGAGAGTCTCAGGAGGGATGGGGGAAGAGAAGCAAAGAGAAGGTCAAACAGCCAGAGCTCTGTCTTCTCTACCATGCACCAGCCACTGAAGTATTTCAGCTTACAAAATAATGGAAGTTTTTGACAAGTAGTATTCAAAACTATGTTTGAAAAACACTGCAGTATGCTGTGGTGTTTCCACAATTTTATTTTTCTCTACAAAGATCATCAATTCCTCTACTTGATAAATGTGTACAGCTCTCCTGCTATATTCCAGGCTCTATGCCAGTATTTAGATGCACAAGGTTATGTAAACAGAGTTGTGTAGCTTACAATTTGTGACAAGAGCCTTAAATGCAGCAAAGATTAGGCTGTCCGCATGTGTCCTGATGTGGGGAGGATATGCATCCCCCACACTGTGAGGATATAGTGGAGGAGGGGCCAGATCAAATGAGACTGATTGGAAGGGGATGAGAAGCTCATATACAATAGTTAGTTCTTGAATGGAATCTTAAATTTGACAGAAGGATGCCTCCATGGCACCATGGGAATGTGCTGCTCAAGGAAAGCTACATCACACATGACAACAGTGATTTGAATTCCCAGACAAGTCAGCCTGAAATACACTGGACATTTGTGTAAGCGCCCAGAATCATCCTATGGAGTGGAGGACTAGCGGAAGAGGGTCATGACATGCAGAGCATGTGGAGGCTGCTGCCCTCTCTCTCTCACTCTCACATGCACAAACGCACACTCTATCATGATTAAAACATAAATAAAGGAAGACAGAAATTAGGAAACTAGTGAGTGAAAGTCAAGCATTCTACAGATAAGAGCGAACATGTAAACACTAGACAAATAGAAAAAAAAAAAAAAGAGCAACTACGGAAAGAAAGGAAGTATTGGAATCAGAAGAGATCTGATCTTTTAAAACCACATGCTTAAATAAGGAATTTGAGCCAAAAGGCAAGATTCGACCATTAAACAAACCAAACAACTTCACAGTAATACCATGAGAACATTTCTGTTTTAGACATATTCTGGTATCATTATAAAAGATGCCCTTGGAAAATGAAGAATAGAGTCAGGCAGGGTGATTAAGGGGTTATGTCAGCAAGCTGGAAGAAAATAAACGAGAATCTGAATTAAGCCAAAGAAATTGTCATGACAGGAAAGACACACGAGTGATAACAAGAGGCTGGCACCTGTGAGATGTTATGACCTCTGCGTCTATCCTATTTGCCTGCACATTTTCCCCCTTTTTGAATAAACAACGATGAATGTTGTACTGTTACCTTTCTCTGTGTAATTTTGTTGCCATCTTATGATTTGTATATATATAGTCAAGCTTTTAAAAATGGGAAATGTCATTCATTTCATAGCCACTAAATCTTACATAGCAGTACACTTGAAACTCAAACATTTAATCACTTAGTACCCTCTGTCTGCATAGCAAAGCTCAGTGTTATAATCCTCCAGTTATTACAAGATCTGTGCCGTCTTGGATACATTTACACTTCAATTACTATTACAATGCTTTCATCTTAACAGCTTCTAGTTTCAGAAGGATTGAGTCTCAAGGATTACGTTATAATGAGAACAAAGGTTATTGACTACTTTTCTCATTTTTTTTTTCTTTTGAGATGCTTTTCAAGCCAAATAAAAGTGAAGTAGAATTTATGCCAAGATATTTTCTCCCTGCAGGAAAACATAATGGAAGTTATCAGAAATCAAGAGTTTTTACTCCTTCCAGCAGAGGAGCTCCATAAACTACTGGCCAGTGATGATGTGAATGTTCCTGATGAAGAAACCATATTCCATGCATTGATGATGTGGGTCAAGTATGACATGCAGAGGAGATGCAATGACCTGAGTATGCTTCTCGCCTTCATAAGATTGCCACTTCTTCCACCACAGGTAATTATGTGTGATATTGTGTCAACAGACACAAGTGATTGAACAACCCTATATTAAAAGTAAACATTACAACATCATTTTAATAATTTATTCACATTTTAAAACTTTCATTGAATGCCTTTTTAAAGATAAATTTGATGGCAAATGATGAGTAATGGGTCATGATTCTGAATTTCATCTCTTCCAGACATGTTTACTCATGTTCCTTTACATACTTATGGTATCACATAGTTTTTTAAATAATGTTTCCTCATCTAAAAAATATGATTGTTCTGTCACACAGAAGTTTAGTGAGGATCAATTAGATAATATATCTAAACACCTAATCATAATACAATAACTATTGTCTATCTATATCTATCTATGTAAATTTGACCCAAAATGAAATAATGTGATCATTCACTGAGAATACATATGTTGTGATATTTTTTTAAGGCCCATTGCATGGCAGTTCAATTTCTATAGAGAAATAAAATACGTTCCTGAGCAATAGAAAGTTGTGAAATAATAGCATGTAGCAATTGGAATTATGAAATCTTTACTATCTTGAGCCACAGAACACATGAACACTCTACTTCATTTTATTGATAAGTAGTGTATAGGAAAGTGGATAAGAACACTAGGTTTAATCAATTTATAAGAGGAAAAGTATCTATTCCTCCTTGATTCTGGATTTGTATTTTTAACGTGTAATGTTGCAAAATTATCTGTACACAGCATTGCTTATACGTGGTCTCTGTCTTCTCATGCTATCAAGTAAGCTTGAAAGTGAATTTTGATTCATAAGTAAAATTATATGTGCATTATGTATATATATGTGTATATATATGTGTGTGTGTGTGTGTGTGTATATA